GGAGTCCATAATTGTATATTATAGCTTATTTTTAGTCTGTATTTATAATCTTTACATACACAAGCAATTCATAAGACTACTTATTATATTGTATATTTATATTCCATATATAATCTATTCAAGCGCAAACAGTTCATAACACTACATATTCACAGAATTTCAGGCCGTATTCACCGGAGGGTCATTGCGCGTATAGGGGCATTGTGACCTCACAATCAACACCTCAAACAACCCTGCAAACAATAGTTGCAACGACCGCAGCAAGATACGTATCGAGCAGGAAAAATATTATACAAAGCTATTGCAGGATTTTTAAACATTTGGACGTCGTACACATCGAAAGTCGGAAAGAAAAATAGGGGAGTGACAAACTGTAATCTGTTTCAACTTTCAACAAGGCATTTCGGTAATGAAAATGATGTCGTCATTCAGCCTTCAATGTCTTATTTATTCAAATTTGGACTATATAATAAATCAATAATGGACTCTCGGCTTCGCCTTGATTAATATGAATATTTTTCTGGTGAATAACACACCATATTCAACAACAAAAGAGTCATAATTGTATAATATTCGCCGGATTTAAGACCGTATTAACAGGAGGGTCAATGCGCCTGCAGCGTGTTTGTGATGTCACAATCACCTAAAACAACGGTGTAAACAATGGCTGTAATGGACACAGCTAGCCTGGTTCCCTGTCCCTGTTTTGCATCATATACTCTGCGTCACTAGGGCCAGGTGGAGTACAATGGATTTAGGGCGAATCTGCCCTGAATCTTAGTCCATTGTGACGTCGAATATGGCTGCGCTTCCAATGAAGACGTTCATTGTGACGTGATATTTTTGTACGTCGTCGACGTAATGTGTCATTGTTACGTCGATATTTATTTATGTTGTTAACGGCAACGGCTCAAAAACCCACGATTTAGCGCGCATTATTCTGACCAATCAAAGGAAAGCATAGAAAGTAATCCACCTGGCTCTCCTGCCTTGGCAAGAATAAGACAGGGGTCCAGGCTGTGAAAAAAGCCAGCTATATGTATCAAAGCAGGAAAAATGTTAGACAAACCTATCGCAGGATTTTTAAAAAATATATTTTGGGGTCTTAAACATAGGAAAAATCGGAAATAAAAACACGGAGGTTACAATTTGCAAAATGAACATTCTTCTTTATTTTTTATAGACGAACGTTCGTAAATGAAAATGGTGTCGTTATGCAGCCGTCAATGTCTTATTTATTCAAATACTATTAAATTATTTATATAATCAAACAATTGAGGCCCTTTTTGGTGTTGAATATGGTATGCTATTCACCAAAAACATATCAATATTGACCGAGGCGAAGGGTCCAATTGTATAATATTGATTATAGTGTTTTTGATATCTAACATATTATTCATGTCTACAATGTATTTTTTCTAATACAAATAATCTAGTCCTGCACAAGCACTCAACATAAGACTGCTTCCATATCCCACTCACTGTAACAGATTTGTATAGAAAATATTTTGCAGTGCATATTTTTGTTCTTATCAAAGCAGGTAGAGACATTATGTTGGAGCACAAGTCTTTTTTTTACCTTTTGTACAAAAGCACCATATAGTGTAGCATGTTTACTCACATATTTTGCAATTATATATTACATTGATACATCAAAATGTACACCAAATAAATGAAAAGTAATATATTACACTTAGTTTTAGTAACAAATAAGTCTTCATCAGAAATACATGCATTACCAAAGCCAACTGTAATTAATCAAATTGAAAACCAAAATCAAGATCTGATGATATATAAATGTATTTAAAATTCTATGGGCAGAAATTATAGGAATTTTTTTCTTTACAATCCACATCTTTAGGGTTGTCAAATTACATAAATTTACTATATAGTTAAGCACAGTATACTAGTTTACCCATAATATTAAGACTAGACTCTCGTAGGCATAGTATTTACTAAGTAAGTAAATGAACGTTTTTATTATGGATTACTGATTATTAGTATTTGATTGTCACTAACTCAAACATGAACACTTTACATATTAAATAATACTTAAATTTTTATATATAGTCAAACATTATTTCAAAATTTTATGTTACTGCTATCTGAGGTTAAAAATTGGAAGCTTTGAATTATCAAATTGAAAATGTGTCTTTTTATCGTACTTCTGTGTTTCCTTTAAATAATACATGTAAATATTTTATGTGTTTATCCTTAAACAATAGATTTGTATAAAGATTTGATCACAGATGCTCTTAAGGATTCTATATATGTTCAGTCATGGAAACACAATCTACAATCTGACGAAAAGGTATGTATGTTTTCCTTTAAGGATAAATAACACAAAATAATTTTTGCGCTAAGTAAATGAATTATATTTCGGTATTCAGAAGCCTTTTTTCAATAAAGACGAAAGTACCATCTTACCATCTAACTACTTTAGGATTGTTTAATTCACCACAATTTGGGCAAAAGTTGGAAAAATTATATTTCTTGATCCATATATTTTTTTAATTTATTTTCTTTAATCTTTATAAACAATTTTTAATTATAAATTGATACAAAAGTTATGAAAATCTCCTGGGTCAAATATTTTACTAAAGACAAATGAATTTTTATTGATAAAAAGTAATGTATAATCTTTATGTACAATCCTAAATTATATTGATATTTTTAATGGAGTCTTTACAAAAATAATAGTTTTGAGCAAAAGGGGAATTGTGTGCCCTTTTTACACTAATTAAAAGAAGAAAAAATTATTTGCCGGAAAACAAATTGATTGAACCTGGTCATGAAAGGGTTGCACTTCTTATGTCTGCATGAACACTGTTGCAACAAATGTGTTCATTTGGTCATTCATGATAAGAGTTAATTCTTTCCTGCTTTTTTCCCTTCAAATGCCTTTCTTAAGCGCTTAAATTTGGCTTTGCTAGTAAATCTCCCTGACTGCAATTTTTATTCGTTTTCATTACCTTAAATTTATAGTTCATGAAGTAGGAAACAAACAATGCGAATTACAGAAGATACCAAAATTTGTTTTGTTATCTATCGTTTATTGTTATGTCTTGTGCGACTTTCTTATTTTTAAAATAATAATTGTCATACTTGATTTAGTAGTATTTTCAATCAATTGAAAAACATTTTACATAATTCTGTCATTTACAAATATTTTACGGAAGATTTTCTCTTTCATTTCGAAAAAATTCGTTAATTGCATGTGGCATGTCACCTTTACAAGTTAATTGTTGTGTATTGTTTGACATTCTCATTTGTTTATAATAATTTTGACATACTTGATTTGGTAGCAATTTCAATCAATTGAATAACATTCTATATAATTCTTTCATTTACAAGTATGGGTTAGTGCTTTTGACATCATTATGAAAAATAAAGAAAAGACACAACAGTTAGTATTTAGTTACTAAAATAATACAAGTTACGAACTATAAGAATGATCTCTTGGATTGGAGAAATGATTTGATTTTTTTTTTCGATATATATGTTGTTCATGTGAAAAGAACTCAAGGATTAACATGTTGGCTTTGAAAATCTGACAAATATTAGGGAATATGCTCTTTGTGTGTTTTTCCCGGAACTCAGAGTTTGTGAGGAGATAAAAAAAAACCAATTACACATGGGTGAACGCAACCCTGTCAATAATTTTTTGTTATATCTTCACTGTTTTAGCTCATAATTTGTATAATTGCATTTTTTTAGCCAAATACAAGAGAGAATTGAATTTTAATTGTTTTATGCAATTCATTATTAAAAAAATAAATATTTTAGGTAACGGATGTGCAAAATGTATGCTAAAAAAAAAAAAAAACATGATGTTAAAGTGTTTCAGCACTGCCTCTGATCACTCACCCTGGGCTGTTACAAAATATATCATTGGACGTGCATTATGATATAAACAGAAGCGTTATCTGAGTTCAGGTTATATTCAGAAAATATTTACATGTAGTTTTATAATGAAATAGACATTTATCGGCTTATAAGGGACTATTTCTTTTGGTGGAAAAATATCTAGCAGAAAATTCACAATAGCCTGGTTATTTCTCAAAATTGACAATATCCCTTGTTAGTTGAACAAAGGGTTTTATAGTAACTCTATGTTAAAAATGAAAGTGAATTTAATTGAGAGCGGTGAGAATATTGAAAGTTTATGATATGCTCAAAGGAATATATAATATAGGTAATAATTTATATATTTAGAACAAATTTTACACATTCCCTCCACAAAGTTTGCCTAGAAATGAAAATATGCTGAAGAAGTCAAGATAAAATATGCACCGTTTTTTTTGCCTGAAAATCACACCTTTTGACCAATATTTCAAAATTAACATTATTGACCCCAACTTTTTTAAATAAATTGTTTTAAACTACTTGATACTTGACTGATGGAAGCACTTAAGATCAATAAGTTTGATATAAGAAACTATTTTATTGCCTATCAGAGAGATGGAAATTATTCAACCATATAATAATCTGTGTTATTTCTGGAACCTAGAGGTTGTGAGGGGACATAAAAAATAGCTGGCCTTGGGTGAACGCAACCCTATGATTTTTTAAAAGAGAACGCTAACCTATCATTTTACTGTTTAAGTAGTTTGTATTGTTCAGATTTTATTCTTAATTAGATTTTATTTTAATTGTACCAAGTCACTTATAAAAAAATAAATATTTTAGGTAACCGATGTGACAGATGTATATTTTGAAAAGAGGTTAACTTTCAGCACTACCACTGATCACTCAAAATGGGCTGTTACAAAAAAAGAGTCATGGACCTGCATCAGTGATATAAACAGACATGTAAGAGTTTAATACTCATATATTTACATATACATGTAGTTTTATAATGAAATAGACATTAATCGGTTGGAATATATATCGTTTTTAATATTCGGTTGACGCAGGGATAACGAAATATATATCTTTGATTAAAAGTCAATATATTTTTAGTCCTTCTAAAATGTTGAATAAGTCAAAATAAGTCAAAAAAGACAAAACCTAAAATATTTGTCAATATTGCTTCACAAATGTATCGTTATCTACATAAATCAAGAGATTAATAAAATAAATAATTACATTTTTACAGGCAATTGAAAATTGACTTGTCTGTTTCATGATCCTGTATCGATAAGTCACTGTCTTTCAAAAACAACTGCATACGTATACCAAACGATACGTTTTTAATAGAAATCCCCCCAAAAAATAATTATAAAAGAAAACATTTAATGTAAAAAGAAGATTAATAAAACAAGTTTATTAATTGTGGTCATCTGAGGAAAATACTGTTTTATTTATGAAAATGTAAAAGAAATTGAAGACTTATTGATTACAGTGTAATCACTTTCATATTGAAGAAAGTATAATGATATATCCTGAAAGAGTATTTATATCCATGATTTTTCCTGATAATGCGACAAGACAATTTCTGGCTATTCGAAGCTCGTTTTTGCTTAACCTCTTGTATAAATTATTAAAAACACAATTGAGTGAAACTGTCATTTATTCAAATAACAAATGACTAAGAATGAAATATGTAATACATATTACATAAAGTTATATATCAATTAATTGGCTTGGCTTAAAACAAAATATACAGTTAATAACAAATTGACTAGTTACACATACAGATTAGTCACATGACATAATTTTTTCTAATCACATGACACAAAAACAGCCCAGCCAATATTTTAGTTGAAATAATTTGTTTATTTGCAATAAAATTCATTTTGAAACAATTAGCTTTATGATTAGATCCATCAATATGAACCGAAACTTTATTCTCCAAACCCTATATTTTATGAATTTGTCTATGGAAAGAACAAGGTACAGGTTCAATACAAGAATGGCCCTGTGATTTCCTTAAAAATGATATTGATGCAAATAAAAAAACCCTTGTGCTTTGCTTTCTAAAACAATAAGATTCATTGCAGAAAAATCATACACATTATCATTCTTATATGTATTTCTTAATACAAATTGTGACGTCATAAAAATGTGCATTTTCCCGTGTTTTCTTTAAAAGTTGCGGAAGACACCAATTTTCAATGGAATTTTCTTTTAGATGATATTGTAAGCAAGCAACGCCAACTAAGATGTTTTGAGATATTGGAATTTTTTATTGAATTTTACACTACTAAAATTACTGATGTGGACACTATTTTCTGAAGGAAAATTACCCTCGAAATGAGTCATTTTGAGGCTCTTTCTGGTTAAAATAGAGAAATTCTTCAAATTAATGACGTCATATTTCCAGAAAGGTACTCCTTCATGTCATATTCTTTCCTGATTTATTGTGGTCATGAACTCAACTAATATTTAAGCTAGTTTAAAACTTTTTGAAGACATAAAATTTTTAGGGCACAATAAAACTTTCTTTTATGAATATTATCTTGATTTTTTTTTAAGGTTTAGACTTGATAGCATTTTGATGCTATTATAACATTTGAAAATGTATACGTTTCATTGTGTTATTCTATAAATTTAGTCAAGTACATGATAGATGTTTCAAAATGAAATTAAGTGATTAATGTTACTGTCGTAGAATTTGGTAAAATCGACTTCGAACTGATTAGTGCATACACTTTTAAAATCTAAAAAAAAAATGCACACAGCACAAAGCACAAACATGGAAAATAAGTGGCCCCTCAAAAATCTATCATCTGCATGTAGAGATTGTAAAAAAAAATGCATGAATTTTTGAAGGGGGAAGCTACAAGTAAACGTAAGCATATGCAAGTTTGTTAGCTTTTCCTCACTATTACTATCTACTTGCCATCCTCATGTTAATTATGCAATCAGTTGAATATAATCAGTTAATAATAAATGAAATTTAATTTTAATCTTAAATACAATGTAATGAATCTTTTTATAGACAATTTTGTAACAGGTGAAAATACCTTGATATGATTTATTGACATAAAGCACATTGATATCATTCAAACTTCAGCTTTCTCCCGACATATTAGGTAATATATCTCGCAGAAAACATATAATAATATACACCGTATTAATCTAAGAGGTTGCAGCATTTTCTCTAACACACAATTTAAGAAAATGTATAAACTGATGTGTATCTACCTGATTTTTATCAACCTTTTTATTTAAAGGTAGCTCAGTATAGCAGAGGAGGATTAGCTTTGTGTTTGTACAATACAGATGTTGCCAAACAATTTCGAAAACTCGTTGAACAGAAAAAAAGGAACAAGCCCAAAAATCAACAAAAACCAACGCAATCAGAAGAAAGAAACCTAATTGAAAAAATATATGAATTTGTTGTCTGGGGTTTGGGATTTTGGTTTGAAAATACAGCATAATCCGGATTCCTCTGATTATGTCACATTATTCTCAATCAAATGCCAAACTCGGCTCCTACAGAGAGATATACGGAGGCTAACATGACAGAAAAATAATAAACTTACATATCAAAATCAATGTTTCTAGTTATTTAATACATAAAATTATATCTAAGCATGCATCCTGAATTTGAGTGTGTTCTAAGAGAAAGGATATTGAACTTATGATTGGTATGAAATTCATAGAGATAATGCACAGTATTCATGCTCAAACGTCCATTAAACATATACAAATTAAGGATAAGAGCAAATATGGACCACTGAAAAATCGGAGCTGGGATCAGGTGTCATGCAGAAATGAGACCAGACACACACGCCGCATGCACCTTGTCATGACCTGGAAATAACGGGAACATTCGGCATCCCTTGCATAACAGAAATCTAGCCCTTAGCTCATTTTTTACTTATCTACTTTAAAAAAATTTCAATTTTATTACTATTGGTCAAGAAACTTCAAAGTACCTTTGGATTTCTGTTAAAATTTTATTACATAGTATCGATGCACTCGACTGGTATATTCTGATCAATTCCAATGCAAAATAATTTACAAAATTATAATTTATTGTACCAACAATAAAATCCAATTTCTTCTAACAAGATAGTTATAGTTCATGGAATTAAAGTCGGAATTAGTCCCATTTCCAATTATAACTTCCGTGCAGGTTATACACTATTAATGTACATTCTTGATTAATAAATTTTAATTCTATTTTACTATACATAATAATACCACTTTTAATAATTAAAATGATAATGAAATGAATGTTGTACAAGTTTAAAATGTTCAAATACACTGTACTAGAATGTTCTAAATACTATAGGTTTACAAATGATGAATGATTATGCTTAATAATATATTTTCGTGATTAGGCTAAAACTTTAGCCAATAAAAGATTAGAAAAAATGATTTTTTTTTCTGAATTGTTATGCAATTAACACTTAATATTTACATGTATGTCATAGAAATGTGACGTTACCATTTCCTCTCAAGCACTTTATAGCGTGGCACAGGTTTCTCTAAAGTTTAGCGCAAATAAAATTCTAAAGTAATATTTAAAAAACTTTTCTTTATTAGCAGAAGAAGCTTAAAATATAACGAATTAGGCAATAAATTAAAGATTAAATGATCTTTTTTCAAGTGTGTGAAAATGCGTGATTGCGGGGACACGGTATATGTGTGATTTTGCGTTAGAAATAGAATATGATATATGTACTAAAATGCGTGATTGCGGGTACGGGGTTAAAAAAAAAATTAAAGAGACTATTCTTTTTCACAAATAAACGGAAAATTAGAGGTACATCCCCGGTCATCCCACTGACCCGTACTGAGCATAACACCGCAGTCCTGGTTAAAAATGTTATTCGGCTCATTTGGTGCCCAGTTTGTAAAGCTCATCTCGAGGCTGCCTTGGGTCCATGTAAATACCCCCTCCGTGTCGATATCATCAGCTCCGACCCATACAGGACATGGATAATTTTCATCACAGCCACCTACATGTGGAAATCAGAAGGGGTAGAGGATATTTTTAGATTACAAAAAAGTGCCGTTTTTCGTCACGTTACGTTCTAGTTGACAGCTGCGCTCAAGGTAATTTGTACACGCCTCCTAACCGCAAGCTTTACGATTCTTTTCTTATCCATGATTGGTTGCTCGCTCAACAGACTATTTCCTTGTCAATGTTAATAATATGAGTTGACCAATAAACGGAATTGTTTACGCTGGAAGCAACTGACGAAAAAGATCGTAAGATAACGCAAACCAGTTTATACTCGATAATTTGGCCAAGAATTAGAGTCATTCTTTAAATGTTTCTAGATTTTTAATACATTGAATTATATCTAAGCGAACATCCTGTACTTAAGTGTGTTGTAAGAAAAAGTATATTGTACTCATAATAGGTATGAAATTCATAGAGATAATGCACAGTATTCATGCTCAAACGTCCATTAAACATATACAAATTAAGGATAAGAGCAAATATGGACCACTGAAAAATCGGAGCTGGGATCAGGTGTTCACACCAGACACAATGCACCTTGTCATGACCTGGAAATAACGGGAACATTCGCCATCCCTTGCTCCAAAGGATTCTAGCCCTAAGCTCTTTTTTACTTATCAACTTTAAAAAGTTTTTCAGTTTTATTACTCTTGGGTCAAGAAACTTTATACATGTAGTACCTTTGGATTTACGTTCAAATTTTATCACATAGTATCGATGAACTCAACTGGTATATTCTGATCAATTCCAATACAAAATGATTTACAAAATTATAATTTATTGTACCAACAATAAAATCCAATTCCTTCTAACAAGATAGTTAAAGTTCGTGGAATTAAATTCGGAATTAGTCCCATTTCCAATTATAACGTCACTGCATGTTGTACACTATTATCCATGTAAATACCCCCTCCGTGTCGATATCATCAGCTCCGATCCACACAGGACATGGATAATTTTCATCACAGCCACCTACAGGAGGAAATCAGAAGAGGTACAGGATATATAGATTGCAATTAAGTGTGACTCTTTGCGTCACGTTACGATCTAGTTGACAGCTGCACTCAAGGTAATTTGTATACGCCTCCTAACCGCAAGCTTTACGACTGGAATTTTTTTCTTATCCATGATTGGTTGCTCGTTCAACAGACTATTTCTGTGTCAATGTTGATAATATGAGTTGACCAATAATGTGAATTGTATACGCTGGAACCATCTGACAAAAAGATCGTAACGTAACGCAAAACTTCAGACTAAATTGAAATTAATAATAAATATTACACATAAAATTTATCATTTGAAAGAAATGATGTATGTTTCACAAGAAATGTGCACTGTATTGCAATATGCTATTTTCAAAAGAACATGTATTTCATTGCAAACGCAGTTGTAAAGATATGATGTACGTTTCAGAAGAAATATATCGCAATATGGCATTTTTTTTCAAAATTACATTGCAAACACAATGAAATTATTCAAGGAAACGTTTTCTTTATCTCAAATATTTGCATTTCCATAGTATATTTATTGATTTTGTATAATTAGAGAAAAATGAACCGCATATCATTAGTTACGAGTAAAATTGTAATATTTATAATGGAATATGTTTCATATTAACGTATGATATTGATGGAATTGTGTAATACAAATAATGTGAAGAATAAATAAATCTTATTTTCAGAATAAATATAAGTAATATGCAATTTACTCACTGCTTCCGATATTCTGTAGGATTAAATTTGCAAGGAAGTTATTTTCGTTTTCCCCACCTATTTCTACCAGATATGCGTGTTTGCTCTCACAGGTTTTCTGTAATAATTTCATATTAATTTGGTTAAAATCACACTCGATTCATATTTCATTCAAGGCTTAATGAAATGCAATGTACGCTATTTTCAAGTATGTCTAACACACGAGAAATATATGTGGGATGTACAGGTATAATGTCTAGTTTTAAGAGATATACAGACAATAGGCTAGGAACTTTGGTAATTTTTTGTTTCAGAAAAAAAAAAATAATTACAGGTGACTTTAGTATATGTTACAAGGTCACAAACATACCGCATTATAAGATTTTGCATGAAATTAATGTACATATATATACGAGCAATGTGCCATTTTAGATATATTTGCAGGTTGATACAATCAATTTTTCCCGAAATCAATGGGCTTTATCAATCATATCGAATAATCATGCTAATATAATTACATTAATGTGTCATTTTTATCTTTTATATAAAAAAGAATTTAAAAAAAATATATATTTTTATCTGATCACATTTCTTGTTACTACTACTCTAAGAATTACTTACCTTGGCCTCTTGCCATGCAATATTTGATGTACTGAGGAAGTAGCAATGATTCTTGAATTCAATCCAACCCGTAGAGCAGACTAAAAAATAGTACAGTAACCTGTCTAAACCGACATGCAATGGGAGACAGGGTGTCGGATTGCACAGTGTAAAATAACATGAAAAAGAATAGAATGTGAAATAATTTTTACGTCGGAAATCACTGTGGGTCGGGTTGCACAGTGTCGGATAAGACAGTTTTCACTGTAATAATGTGCATTGTCATCACTGACCTTTGAAATCAAAGGATGTGTTATGTACCACGGTCTGATTTTCTGCCACTGATCGCTCAAAGAAATCAATATGTGCACTTTAATTAGTAAGGTTCGGTTAATGGAAAAAATAAAGACAATGCAGTTTTCATATGATTGCTCAAGTTATCAATAGCAGTAAATTAATTTTTCCCTGAATTAATTTGTTTCTTGTTACTCATTAAATCAAAAATCCTTTTTGAATAATGACATTTATCATCAATTTTTATTTATTTACAATGAAAACTGTCTTAGCCGAGACAAATGCAGTCCGACACACATAAATTCCGACGTAAAATTATTTCCCATTCAACACATCTTCAAATGCTAATATTTACATTTCCAATTAATTTTCCGTAAGATTGTTTGCAAATAGGAGCATTGTTCATTTTCCCATGAACTACCATGTATGAGCGTGAATAACTCCATTGTTACATCACAATATCGCTCTTGACCTAAATCGATAGTGCAAATTGTTTTGCTTACAAATGGCGTAAATTTGTGGTTACTCATCAGCAAAATAATATAAATAATATAAATATAAGAAAAGAATTTAATTTTTGAAGATTCATGAGGTATATGAACTACAACGCTTCACGCTGGCATATTTATAATGAAGCGTTAACGCGCTTCATTAGATATGCCGCCGTGAAGCGTTGTTGATCATAACCTCATGAATCTTCAAAAATTAAATTCATTTCTTGATGTACACAGTGCAATCCGACACCCTGTCTATTCCGACACAACATTCATCTTTCAGTGCATGTCGAATGGGACAGGTTTCAGTGTATTTGTATATGAATTACATGTAGGTTTATCACGAAAAAGATAGAAGCAGGTCGAATATTATTAAATATACCTCTTTTACAGGTCAAATCAATCTTCCATTCTCCGTTTGACTGGCAAATAATCAGGTTTGATCCTACATGTCTATAACCCTCTGCACATTTAACATGTAGCCCTCTATAGATTCCAATT